TTTTTTGTTCTATAGATTTATTTTGTTTTGTAATTTGAATTTGGTCAATTTGGTTAGTTCAGACATGAACATCATGAAAACCTTTTTTTGTTTTGTTTTGTTTAGTAGCTGCATTATTTATTTGCTTAACATATTGTACTTTTAATATTTGTAAACAAGGTTTCTGCTTTTCATTATAGCACCCCCTGTGGGTTATACCCCACAGCACAGGGGTTGTTTCCCACCTGCGACTGACTTGCACTTTGTGAAACCCTGATGAAGCCTTGGACTCTGAGAATTAACTGAAAACATTCTCTCTTTATTTAAAATCAAAATTATATCATCCAGTGGGACCTAATAGATGGCTTTAAAAAAAGTGTAAAATCATGAATTACTTTATTGGTCAATAAAATCCCCTGCTGTTCCTGTTGCAGTGACGCCAGCGATAGTCTATGAAAGTTTTTCTAGTTTTGTGGATTTAGAAAATCTACAGGTGAAGGCTCCATGCCTTTCCAGTAGTGTGGAAAAACTGAGATCTGCTGCTGGAGTTTGTTGTTTATCTTAAGATGTTACAGACTGTTTATCATCTGCTTTTCTTCGAGTTCACTAAATGAGAAAAATGATTTTTAAAAAAAGATGATACCTTCTGTTAAATGTTAAAGGAGTAAGGTGAGGGGCGTACGTCACTTCAGTTTCAGCTTATTTACAACATCTTGATGTCCTCAGACGTGGAGACCTTGACAGTGAGGACACTTTTGTCTGGTTCTTAGCTGTTTTGCCATTTTGAGGTTAACGGTTAAAGTTCTTCATTAACTAAATTAACTGCAGCCCTGAAATTTAGCAGGCATGACCCAGCGGAGCTGAATTTTTTGGCATGTGTGAGAGAACAGCAGCAGCACAGTATTTCTAGTTGTGAGAACATGTCCATTATCTGTGTCATACATGAAAACTGGGCCTCACAGGCCTGCTGTGTCAGTACACTGTGACTAACACAGGTTCATTTCGGCATCTCTTCACAGGCCTCTGCAGTGAGCTGCGTCCTGCCCAGTCAGAGGTTGCTCTGGCTGCTGGTTCGACTCCGACAGAACAACCAGCAGCTGTTCCAAGGGTAGTCCAGCCTGTCACCCAGTCCTCCCAGTCCAGACTGTACAGTATGCTGCTGAGGTCTGGAGCTGTTTGTCTGCCTGGTGAGAAAACACAAACGTCATGTACCAACCAGTTTCAGGCCTCAGACTCAGACCCGACTAGACTAAGATCAGGGCAGTCAGAAGCTCCAGCCTGAGGTTTATAAAGTTGGGCAGGTGGAGCAGA